GTCTAGTAGTTCCCATTGATTTTGCTTGTAAAGCGGGAGAATGGCGCTAGGCCTACCACACCATGACGTCACTGCTGGAAGATGGCAGGAGGGAGGGGTTACTATATTTGGGCAAAAATGGCCGCTCCCAGACTCAGTGATCACAAAGAAAATTATTATTTTTTACTATCCAACACCAAATTCATTAAATCATAATGATCCATTGCTGATCGGACTTCTCCTTTAAAGACATAACATACTGATCAAGCTTTAAGTAGCTGTCAGGTTCTGGAGGTTTCAGCCTCTTCTTAACAAAAAGGAGACGTCTAAACTAAACTTAGCAGAGAACGGCCTCCATTCCTCAGCTGGGATGTCACTGAGGATATTTGGATAGGAAGACAGAAAATATACCTCATAGCTTTATTTTTGTTTCGATTGAGGATCATTGTGGTTTCTGAAATCTAAACTGGATTTAAAAGTAAAAATAAACAAGTTAAACATTTGATTTCATAAGTAATAAAGGGTGAAAACTAAAAACAGAAGAGGATAAAAACATAACGATGTCAGCTTATCACTGCTCACACAGGTCCTCAGATTCTGCTAAGAGAAAAATCACCAATAGTTTAACTAAAACACTAGGGATGCACGATATAATCGGCCCCCTATCGGTATCGGCCTTAAAACTGAATATCGGACATCGGCCCCCCCACCGATATTTAACCCGATATTTGATCAGCTTCTGAGTTTCTAAAGTCTAAAAAATAAAATAAAAATACTGCTTCTTCTTCCTCAAAAACTTCTTTTTTACAGACTTAAAAACTTCTAAAGCCGAGGGAAAAAATATTGATACATTAAAATATCCCAATATCTTCATGATATATTCCCATTTAAAAACACCATATTAAACCCCTTTATTAATGAAATATTGCTATATGTCATCGTTATGCTACGAAATCCCCCGAAAATTCACAAAATGTTGCCATATTTTTATATGTTGATATATTGACGCGGTATCGATCTATTTTACTAACAAAATCTCACAAGAATTTGCAAAATTTCACGAGAGTTT